CCACAGATTTGCTGGCAGTACTTCATTTCTCTGTTTTTTAGTTATCCATTTAAGTCTTCACAGGCTACCATGACAAAGGTTATGGAATCACTGTTTTGAAAGAAACTTTTTTAGGAAAAGTAAAATACATTTATGAAAACATTAATAGAATATATACTAGTACATTGTTTATTTAAAAATGTTATGTAAGGAACTACAACTATTTACACGTCTATAAAAATATATTAATCTAGAGAGCTAAACAGAATAAAGCTGTAATCTTTAGATTCTATGTAGATCCAATGCATTGGGTCAGAAAAAAAAAAAGCAGCTATATGAATGAAAAGGACATACTTTTGTTAGCCCACTTACCTAAGAAAACCAGGCTTCTGAGATCACAATATCTACCAAACCCTTGAATGGACCTGAGGCTTTCAATTTCTACCAGATTTGACAGAGACAAACAAAAAAATTCACAAATTTTAGTTTCTGCTGGTGTCATGGAAACAGGTGGTTAAGGCTGTAAAGAAACATCTTGTTTAAGCTCTCACTGAATAAAAGGCTATTAAATTGGCTAAGACCCAAGTTTAATGATTTCTATTCTTACATAACCCAACAGCATACTGCTGAACACCTCACTGATGGCGCATATATAATTAACATACAACTTACAGCTATTTTGGTATATAATGCAGAAAAGGGATCCCCTACACTTTTTGCAAAGGTCAAAGAGCCATGAGTTTCAAGCAGGATCCTTTGTATTGAACGTCTGCAGAACAAGGCTTAAAATAGAACGAAAGGACCAAGACAAAATGGATCAGCCACATGTAATCTTTCATCAACTTTAACTCAAAGTGAACAGGGTAACTCCCACTTAAAGACAACATCTTCTTGACTATAGACAAAGCAGCATTTTGGAAATTTCAACTAGTCATTGAATTGGTGACACGGGAAGAAATGATGCTGAAGCCTACACCATCACTGTAGAGTGAAAACACAAGCTTCCAAAATGCTGAAGCTGTTCCCAAGAAATACTTCAGTTCCTCATCTTTACACACATTAATAAATATTCACTACACAGTCAATCCGAATTAGTCTTACAAGTTTCAAGGAGTTAATGAGGCCAAAATAAAAACATGAACAAAGATACTTGTGGAATTAAAAAATAAAAATAAAGGAATACACAAGAAGCTGATTTCACACAGAATTACTGGCAAACAGAGAAAAGCCTCTGTCTGATCTAAAACTAAGACAGTGCCTCATGCTCAGATACGACTGGGGTTTCTCAAGGCACACTGTTTCCATATATGTTATGGTAACCTGACACACATCCTTTGCTCATTACTGTTAACAACAAAAACCTCCTACAATTAACTGCAGAAAAATGTATCAGTGAAACTCAGATAAACCCTTTCCCCACACACCTATATATAGTAATGTTATTTTATACTACAGTTCTATATAATATTTTTTGTTACAATAATTAAGATTATGCTTCTTATATTCTTGCAAAATAATTCAAATGCAGATTCCATGAGCTATTCCTCCAGCTGTAGCAGGACATAGTCTGAATTCAACCTATTACAAAAACAAACCATCTTACTACAGTACTTAAATTATACATTAAATTTGTATGTTACACGATTTAAAATATTTTCCCTTCATTTCTCTAGCATTCCCACCACACACATTTTTCAGCACTGCCCCATATAGCTCCTTTCCAACTTCTCCATCTAAGAGGCCCAGATCCTCTCTTTGTGGCATCAGTCACCCTCAGCAATCTTGATGCACCACTAGACAAGGCTGCTTAAGACAAATTTTGCATCCCCGATTTCTAATGCTAATCAACACTTTCAACAATGGCTGTTACTCACCAATTTGAACTGAATGCTTTCCTGTGTCACTTTTACCCACCCACAGCCAGATGTCACCAGGTTCCACTAATGTCGCAGACAGGTTATCTAGACTTCTTTGCAGGGACCAGTAAGCTACCAGTAAGCCACTTTTTTTTCAGATACTAAGGTGACAATCAGTGGGAACTTCACTGAGAGAAAGCCAGTGAGAGTTATACTTACCATTAAGTTCTTCCTCTGTGGCAGCCTTTCTAGGTCTGCCCTTAGCTATGAACCCACACTCCTTCCAAAAACCGCCTTCTTATGGTCTCAGTAAAAGCAGGTAAGTGATTAATGTATCTGAATACTATTAATGTATCTGGGAGCAAAGCTAGACATGCCTGTCTGAAATAAGTTTCTAGAGTCAAGACTTTTTTTTTTTCAAAATAAAAATGATGCATATGAAGATCACTGCAAAATGGATAGGACTTTGCAACACAACTTACACCTTTCCATTGGAAAAAAAAAAAATCCAAGCCATTACCACCAAGCTTTAAAGTCAAGCTCTAAAGGAAAAATCACAACCACTATTTTCTTCAGCCATATGTCACTACATCCCCAATTCCAACTTACACACCCTGACAACATACTGTGGTGTATCAGGCCCTCATACTGCATTTGTTGTCCTCTCCCTAAAATGCTGCAGGTCGCCTGCTCTCCCTCCAAAACAAGCAGGATAAGGACTAATTACATACCGTGCACTGCTCATGCCATTCTGCATGCTCCCAAATGTGATTAGCACAGAAAATGCGAGAATACCAGAAGGTATCATCCCATATTTAGCCATGCCTGTTTAATATTGAGTTAGATTTCACCTCAGTGAGTCATTCTGTTAATCAAGGGCAGGTATAGAAAAGGAAGGCAAAGACTGACATCAGCTACTTTTAAGATTTCTCTTCCTCCTTCCCCCACCTCCAGCTTCTATGACACCATGCATTGTGCATTTTATGTGCATTCATGTGTGCAAACAGCAGAGACTTATCTATAAAGATCAGTTACAGAGTAAAACTACAAAAGGAAACTTTCACCCTTGTCCAGCTGGTTGAATAACTGCAGAGGCTAATAGCAGCAAGCCTCTAAATACCTCCTCTTCTTCTCCCTCCACCCCCACATCTCTAATCACTTAGGAGGAAGATAGGAAGATTAACAGAGAGGGAAAAAAAATAACCAAAGCTGCAGATAACCCTTTCAGACCACAACATCAGGCTATGAGACGTAGAGCAAAAGGTCTCAGACACAACTGTACTTAAAGGAGAGGGAGGGGTGCCAAGGAGGTATGAAAGAAAAAAAGGAAATGGTGATTAAGACAAAAATGAATTTGTCACCCACAGCTGGCTCTTTGATCACCTGGAGCATCTAGGAGAGGATTTTCAGCAGAAATACGGCAGATTATTACCAATACACTGCTATTTTTTAGTAGAGTACTTTAATCATCATCATTAGAATGGCTTTTAGTAAAAATACAGCTGCAGAAGTAAGGGCTGATAGAGAAATACAATGAATAAAGGTGGTAACCAAAACTGTGACAGAAAGCCACCTTTAGCAGCTGATACATTGAAGAGATTTGAAAAAAAAAACAACAAAAAAACCCAACAGAAATAAAAGTCACTTTCATTAAAAGACAATGTCATTTTCATCCATGTCTCTGGACGGTTGCTATGGGATTGTGAAGAGGAGGGGGAGGATGGGGGGGGCATATAATCAATCATCTCAGAAGAGCATTGCTTCTTACAGAGAAAGATCTGGATTTTGACTGTGTCCCTAAGAAAATTGCGGACTGCAGAGCTGCTGCCATGCAGGGCAGTGAAGAAGCAGGCAGAGCAGAGGCAGCAGCTGGGGATGGAAACGCCTATTAAATCCTTTAGACAACAGATGGGCAAAGCCCGGCTGGGTTATTAAAAAAACCCAACCAAAACAAAAACAAAAAAAACAAGCCAGCCTCCCCCCCCAAAAAACCCACAACAAAACCACAACCTAAACCAAAAAAAAAACCCCACACCACAATGCATCATGTTTTATTGTCCCACCATAATGAACAACACTTAACACTCACATGCCCAAAGAAACCCCACAATGGCTGATGTCCCCCTTTCCCTAAATTACAATCTTGAGTCTCAATCCACTTTTTGGGGACTCTGAACCCAATGAATTTGCCAGATATCATTGCTTATTATAGCTGTTACTAAAAATATATTTTTTAAAATATATAAAAAAATTAAATAAAGGACATGTTCTTTCTAAGGGGTTTTCTTCCAATGAATGCTTCCCTGCCCTTGAAAAGAATATGCTACCCAAGCAAGCAACAGTAAGTCCAGATCTTGAACGCATTTAGGGGATCTAATTATGTCATGTAGGGCAGAAGCACCTGCTCTCAGCTAATTCTCTCCACTCAGTTTCCTCTTTTCAATATTTCTTACCATTGTTCCAGTCAGGAAAATCTGCTGGGGGTGAGTTTCATAAACAAGCTTTAAGAAAAATAATTAAATAACCTCCCCTCCCCCCCACCTCCCAGTCCCTCCCAAAACACCACAGCATAATCAAAATGAATTCTGCTTCTGACCCTCTGTTTTTCTTTTATTTCAGACCTTACCTACAAAAAACACCAGCCCATCCATCCATATTTGCTAAATACCCACAGACATACTATACATATTTCCACCCCTCCAACTGCACCTTAAGGACTACACCCTTTTCAATCATGATGTCATGAAATACTGCTGCTGACTACCCCACTACCACCACCTTCTCGGTACTACAGGCTGTGAACCTTTCATTTCAATATAATTTGATTAAAAAGAAAATGCTCCTAAGGAGGGCAGTGAAGAAACTGATGTGAAAATTCAGCACCAGCAGATCATCTATTTTTTCCTCTGCATGCACTCTGGCTGTCATCAGAACAACACCCATTAGCAGGAGTAATGAACATAAAGCATCCTGGGCTTTTTTTTTTTTTTTTAAGGAAAAAAATAAATAAATAAAAATAAATAAAGGCACAAATCCCCTACAAATATTATATCCACTGAAACAGCAAATGAGAAAACCTGAACCCCCATATATCCCATCCCCAGCACCTCACTAGCTGCTATAGCACCTTCCACCTAGCGCCGGTGCTGCTGCAAAGGAACCAACCTGTCTGTCCTTTTCCTAGGGTTTTCTCCAAACGATAGGGTCCAACATATTGTGCATGTTGAGCTCCGCTGCCTTCTTTCCCTGTTGATGTCATTTCTACCTGGATCTGTAATTCTGCAACGTGTATGTGCTGACGAGATGCAATTTCTCTTTCTGCAGTTCTTTAAATTCCCACTTTGCAGCTGTGCAAGCAAAGCACCCGTTTTTCTTTGCTTTAGTCCACTCGGTTGCAGATTTTTCTCTTCCTTCTCTGTCTTTCCTCTTTCTCTGCCGTGTATATTTCCTCGCTGACTCTGCCTAGGACGCTGATGGACGAAGGATTTATTTTAATGTTCAAAGAGGGGGATCTACGACCCAAGCCCAAGGAGCATGATGCTGGTGATCCGAGCTCCGCACGCCCTGTTCTCTCTAGGAGCTGTTCAAGGCAGAGCCAGAGCTAGAGCAGCGGAAGAGCTGGGGCCTGCAGCTGTGATTGACATGAAAAGCAGCCAATCCTCTCGTTCTCTACATCCTTCTCCCCACCTCCTTCCACTACCTTTTCTTTTCCATCAGCAGCAGTCACTGCTTCTGCCTGCTACAGAGCATCATGATCAATGGCAACAGCAAACACCGAAGTTTATCAGTCTTTTGATAAAGCACAATTAAATATAAATGAATGAGGGAAATATTAGAGGACACAAACATACACTATTATTTTTTCTCTCTGAATTTTACTCCACTATGCAGCTGTCATTCCAGACTATTAATAAAAGGCTAAGATCGTCACAAGAAATAGAAATTAATTGATTCTGTTTGATTCTGGAGGAGCTACACAGGTTTTACTGTTTAAAGGGAGCTTTTGTGGGGTTTTTTGGGGGGGCAAAGGAAAAAAAAAAAAAAAAAGAATAAAGCAGATTCCTGTAACTACTGAACTCAGTGACTGAATTGCTTTTGAGTTTAATGGGAGCAAATAGATTTCAGGTCCTTAGATGAACAGATCAAAATAGCATGACCACTATCTTAATTAGAAACACAGTAGAAAAGACAGGTATTGGATAGTAATAGAAACTGTTTCCCAGATCCACAGGCCCTATACTAGCAGCATAAGAAAGCTTCCACTGTTTTTGCCCAAGTGCTTATGTCTGTATTTAATTATTAGCCTAAGGAGTTGAATTAAATAAAAGATTCTGCAGATATGCTTCAAGTTAGGCACAATCCTATGTACTTTCTGGGATCAGGACCATACAACAGTTTCAGCCAGACTCCATGGCTATAAAGCTAAAACCATTACCACACACAGGTTCAATTTTTACCTTCTCTTCTCTGCTCCACTCCAGACAGAAGACTGGTCAAGATATTCTTATAAAGTTGCAACTTGAGACACAACACAGAGCAAGGATTCTGCGCCCAAAGAGGAAGCTTTGACAAACCTGTAAAAGAAAGAGAGAGTAAAGAGAGAGCAAAACTTAAACAAGCCTTACAATTATCTGTTACTCATTGAGAGAAAAGACTTATTTCAGGTTTGTGGTTGGTTTTGTCTGTTTGTTTGTTGGTTGTTTGTTGTTTTTTTTTAAAGAGGGAAATATACCTCTTCTTTTTTTTCTTGCTTCCTATTATTATTTTTTCTTTTTCTTTTTTTTTTAATACCTGTTACATTAGCAGCTGCTAATGTAAATCAGAATAAAACTACAAACTGCCTCTTTACCTGTATCACAGACAACACAAGTCCCTTCCAACAGGCTTCAGAGGAGTAACAAGAGGAGGTGAGAGAAAAGCAGGTCAGTGGACTGAAACCTTAAACCAGTTTGAAGCTATCCTCCTCAGGAAACAAAACTCCAACACTTGCTTTGACCTTCCCCTGATTTTCTCTTTATGTTTTATCTTTAGTCACTTCCAGACTGCCACTGCAGCAACCTGCCAGCAAACTCTAAACCATCATCATCATCTCCTTCAGCCTCCAGACCAACACTGCTTCTCTTTCATCCTTGCTCCCCCTCACACTCCCACCCCTCTCCCCTCAGAGCCCCACTGCATCTTCTAAACCACCTCAGCCAGAAGTAATAGAATTATAGAATCAGAGAATCACAGAATTATGGAGTCATTGAATCATAGAATAATAGGGTGATTTGGGTTGGAAGTGACCTCAACAATCATCTAGTTCCACCCTCCCTACCATGGTCAGGGACACCTCCCCCTAGACCAGCTTGCTTAAGGCCCCATCCAGTCTGGCCTTGAACACTTCTGGGGATGGGGCTTCCACAGCTTCCCTGGGCAACCTGTTCAGTGTCTCACCACCCTCACACTAAAGAATTTCTTTCTAATATGTAACCTAAATCTATCCTCTTCCAGTTTAAAGTCATTACCTCTTGTCCTATCACTACATGCCCATGTAAAGAGTCCCTCCCCAGCTTTCCTGTAGGCCTTCAGGTACTGGAAGGCTGTTACAAGGTCTCCCTCGAGCCTTCTCTTCTCCAGGCTGAACAGCCCCATCTCCCTGCCCTCATAGGAGAGGTGCTCCAGCCCTCTGATCATCCTCGTGGCCCTTCTCTGGACTTGCTTAACAGCTCCATGTCCTTCTTATGTTGGGTGCCCCAGAACTGGACACAGCATTCCAGGTGGAGTCTCACGAGAGCTGAGTAGAGGAGGAGATCACCTCCCTTAACCTGCTGGCCACGCTTCTTTTGATACAGCCCAGGACACAGTTGGCCTTCTGGGCTGCAAGCACACATTGCCAGCTCATGTTGACCTTCTTGTCAACCATCACCCCCAAATCCTTCTCCTCAGGGCTGTTCCCAGTCCCTTCTCTACCCAACCTGTATTTGTGTTCGGGATTGCCCTGAGCCATGTGCAGAGCCTTGCACTTGACCTTGTTGAACTTCATGCAGTTTGCATAAGCCCACCTCTGGAGCCTGTCCAGGTCCCTCTGGCTGGCATCCCTACTCTCTATCGTGTCCCTCAGAGGGAGGAAAAGCATCTGGGAAAAATGACACCACAACCAGGGCAGCACTTCCCCACACTGTGCTCTCCTTCCCTGAGCCCTGCAGCCCCTGGCAGAGCCAAGGGACCGGAGGGGGAAGGGAAGAGGAGGCAGTGGGCTCTGCTGGCAACTGGGATGACCTGTCAGTCACACCAAAAGTGGTGAGCTGGGGCTCTGGGCCCAGGGAGGGAAGACCTTTCCCCCTTTGGAGAGGAACAGGGTGGGCTGGTAGCACCAAGAGTTAAATAAGCAGCTGACAGGTCTACAGGACCTTCCCCACAGCCCAGGGTTGAGGCAAGGCCTGCCCGTGGAATGACGATTCCCTGCACCAGGTGTGGCATAGACCCCAGGCCTGGCAGCTCCGACAGACCCAAGGGCTCAAAACCCAATCAGAAGTCCCAGACATGTCAGGATGGAGTTAGCAGGATGATCTGGTACATCTTGTGACACAGTTGCAAAAATGCCACTGAAACTTGAGGGAGAAGGCACTTTCCACACACACCATCCCTCAGGCGCCCTCTTTTCCCTGTGTCTTATGAGGCAGGACGGGGCTGTTTGAGGTGAGACACCATGATGGGAGAAGCACTCTCCTGGCTGGGGTCTTGCCCATAGCAATCAGGTGTTGGAGGGAATGGAAAAGTGTCATCTTTTCAGACCTTTAACTGCCCTTTAAATGTTCATTCTGTTTTCTCCTCTGCCACCCCCAATATTAAAAGATCCCTACACAGAGAGTAAGGGGCAATACTGAATTACAGGAATGTAAGTGGAACTTTCAGAAAAAGGAAAAAGACTATTTGTCTAAATAAGCAAATTATCCACACCACCATATTAACAATTAAGGGGGTGAATATCAGCATAGGTCTTCACACTTAACACCTTTTAAAATTCCAATATTTGTATTTTACTGGGCATTTAATATGAGATTATGATGTCTGTGTGTAGATAAACCAGATCCTTGTCATGATCAATCAGACATTATTGTCTATCTAAGATCCAACTTGTGTGTTTTACAGTTTGCTTCTTTTGGATATTGGAGAAGATGAGTTACAGAGACAGATGTTGCAAATCCCTACCTTCCACCACAAAATATGTGTCAGTGTCACAGCTGTAATAAGATTAAAAACTTGGTAAAGTTCATATGATCCTGACTGTAAGATTGGTAAGTTTAAAAACAAACAAACAAACAACAAATAAACAAAATCCCAAACCCAACACAAAAACTACACACACACACACAAAAAAAAAACAACCCCACACCTCTGTGGTCTCATTTATCTGTTATTTTGATTCCAAAGGAATATATGTCTGTATGACCTATTGCAACAATTTTGACCACTTATTTTAAGCTATTAAAAAAAATAAATAAAATAATCTTTGGATACTTCTTGATTCCTGAATAAACAGATGCTGTTTACTTCATTTGTTCGTATAGAGCAAAATCCCATTTATCTGTACCCCTTTGATCTGAAACTCACTCCTTTGAATCTAGGTTATGTCCCCTTGGTGTGAATTACATATACAATAACTCCCTCAATTATTTGAAGACCTGTTTATCCAAATGTTTTGATGTTCCAGAAGTATTTTGAATAAACAGGGCTCTGCTGTCATTGGATATCTTTGGGGATGCATATAGGATGATCTCCCCTGACCTTATTCTGTATCTTGTGCTTTAATGAACAAGCAGTGTAAATTAAGTGTATTGTTAATGTACTGGCACTATCTTCAATACTTTTTCTTCTTTCCCCATTGTTTATTTTTCTTTTATTTTCCTTATTAAAAGATAAAATCCCAGAAATTTTACTCACTCTCGTGGTTTGGGCCCAACACGACAACAAGGAAACAGCCCCGAGGCTGCTCCCTCAACTCCCACCCACACACACTCACACTGGGATAGGGAGGACTAAGCCCAACTAGAAGCTCATGGGTGAAGACAAAAGACAAAGAGGGTTCTTCACCAATTAAGGTCCTGGGCAAAACAGACTCAACTTGGGGAAAAATAATAATTTAATTTACCACAAATCAGCTGCACAAAGGACACAGACAACACGAAAAGCAGAGCTTACATACATTACCCCCACCCCTCCCTTCTTCCCAGGCCTAAATCACTTTGTTCCCAGTTTTTCTCCCTCCTTCCCACC